AGGGATTATTAAAGAATCAAAAACTGAAAAAAGAACAGGGTCGCACGGGGTATGACCGCCAGTCGCAGTTGTGGGCGAGGTGCAGGGTCGCACGCTCTCCTCCTCTCCTTTCCTCCCCCTCCCTCTCCTTCCCCTCCATCTTCTCAGTCTTCGCCGTCTCTGCCTCCACGTCTTTCTCCTCGTTCTCCTTCTCCTTCCTCTCCTCCTCTTCTGGCGTGTCCTCCGTCCCCGCCATCTTCTCCTTCTCTTCTTCCTTTTGCTGCGGGAGATATATACTAATGGGTTCTTCGTCTGCTGCTCCTCATGCAGGTGCTGGTGATGGTGGCCATGGTGCTGGTGATGATCTTGGTTTGGAAGGCGAGACCAGAGTTGACGTCAATTCTATTTTTCCTATCGACCCAGCAGCTCAGCGATTCACTACGAACGATGTCCTCATGGCTCATCTGTGGAAATGCGTCACTCGGGCAAGAGGCCTCCACGTGTCCAAAGCAGATGAAAAAGAAGAAGACGAAGGAGAGGGCTGCGCTGACGTGTCCAGCGCTTGCTCTGACACGTGGCAGTCGGGAGAAGATGGCAAACTGGTCAGACTAGGTACGGCGGTCGACGGTAGAAAGCGGTTGCGGCCTTGTCTTCCTGAAGGATTTTTTGGCAACGTCGTCTTTTGGTCTTGCGCTTCTGCGCCTGCTGGCCAGCTAGTGACGGAGTCGCTCGGGCGAACAGCCCAAAGAATTCATCGGTCCGTACAGGAGATGGTGGACGATAACCTTCGTGACACCATTGATTGGATCGAGCAACAGGACGATCTAACGGCTATCGAGCTCTCCTGCAGGTACTTTTTGGGACCGGACCTTGTCTGCAGTAATTGGTCCCGTTTGCCTGTCTACGATTGCGATTTCGGGTGGGGACCACCAGTGTTCGTCGGCCTCCCGCCTTTAAGATTTGATGGATTCGTCGTCATCACTGCTGCGGGGAAGAAGCAGCAAGCATCCGGCTATGGCGGTGGCGGTTTGTTCGTGACAATTTGCCTGCGGACCGAGCACATGAATAACCTGAAATCGGATCCCCATTTCATCAAGCGCCATACGTGAAACGAAAAAAAAAAATCTGAAAGAAAAAAAGGGAGAAAGAAAAGAGTCGAATAAATGTGATACTCGATAGTGCTGGCTGCCTCTTGCACCGATAAGGACCCCATTGGTTTAAGGCGATTCTTTTTTTTTCCTCTTCCGCTCTCTCTTTTTTCCCATACTGCATTACCTTCTGAATGTTTTATTTTGTTTCTGGACTAGATAAGAATGGAGGAGCAGCGCATCATCATCACAGTTTGACGATAATGATGGGAGTGGGTCAGGATTCCACCTGTTCACCTGAGGGATGAACAGTTCTCGAAGAAGATGACCATTTTGACCCAGCGATCAACAGCCCTCTGAAACAAGGATGTCAACGCACTAAATAGAGGAGGCTTTTTTTTTTTTTTTTGGGGGGGGGGGGGGAACAAGGCTCCAATCGATTCGTGGGGAGCAGCACGTGCTGGGAACCGGGCCCAGCGTCCCATATGGAAATTTACATAGAATTTTGAAAGTTTGAGATACCGGGAAGTAATTTTTTTATTCAATTCTCTTCTTTTTTTTTCTGAACATTGTTGATTGATATAAGAACTTCAAATAGACGAATGTATTTTTATTTTTGCAAAAAATAAAAAATATATATTTTTGCAAAAATAAAAATACATTCGTCTATATATTTTTGCAAAAATAAAAATACATTCGTCTATTTGAAGTTCTTATACAGATAGTTTTATCTATTTCCTCTTTTTCCATATTCTCTTGCATTGCCCTGCTTTGGCTAAGAAAAATTTGAGCTACTTAGAAAATTACTACGACGAAATTCAGAAATAGGCAAAATTCAGACAACTGAAATCAGCCTTGCAAATCCACACTCAAACATGCAAGCAACAGATGAGAATAGTCTGGCGCCTTGCACCCAACTCAAACTCGGAGATATGGTAGCTTGCAACTCAACTCAAATCCGAATTTACTTCAGTTGACTATGGCGCTGGGCGYCCACACTTACACGTTCGACTCAGAGTTCACACGCAACTCGACTCCGGATCACCCTGGATACCATGCACGCTAACCACTGTACACACACATACACACTCACTAACTATCTATGGCTATGGCACATGGCCACTAACAGCTAACTAGCCTATCACTAACTTCTGCCCTCTTCGTCTTCAGGCCATCTGCAGACCTCCCTTGCACAAGACGCCCGAGCAGCGCTTCCGCAGAGCTTCCGCAGGAATGAATGAATGGCTGGACGCAGCCTCTTGATTTATACTTCTGCGCAGCTCCGATTTGGCCTGTATTCTCTGGCCCCGGTACCCTTAGCCCCATATGGTACTTGCTGGACCGGACAGGGACTTTCTGGACACTTCCTYGACTACACTACGACTCACCTACGACTCACTGCAGTCCTACTGAGGTCCTACCAGTTGACTTCGACAGATGTCACAGTCCTACGGCGCAAGTAGACTTAGCTACACCACTTGCCCACTGGTCGACCTTCTAGAAGACCTCTGGACCCTACTTCGATTTT